CGTATGTCTATGTTGTAAAAGTTGTTTATTGATGATTACCTGAAGAACAATCTTCCCATGTCTGTGTTGTAAAAGTTGTTTATGATTGTTACCTGAAGAACAATCTTCCTATGTCTATGTTGTAAAAGTTGTTTATGATTGTTACCTGAAGAACAATCTTCCTATGTCTATGTTGTAAAAGTTGTTTATGATGATTACCTGAAGAACAATCTTCCTATGTCTGTGTTGTAAAAGTTGTTTATGATTGTTACCTGAATGATCTTCCTATGTCTGTGTTGTAAAAGTTGTTTATGATGGTTACCTGAATGATCTTCCTATGTCTATGTTGTAAAAGTTGTTTATGATGATTACCTGAATGATCTTCCTATTTTTATGATGGTTACCTGAAAAATTATCTTTTGCATCTGTTATAAAAGTAGACCTTTTGAGCTGTTTTACAAAATTATTAAAAACAGCCAAACATTCATGTTAACAATGTTTATTTTACTGTACTCTCTAATACAGCACCTCGTACAAGAAACACTTATCTAGTCTATTGCTCACGTAACATGATAGTTTCATCTAATACTGTAACTTATACCAACCAACATAATTTTAGTCCCCCTAAGCTTGAACTAACTAAATACAAGCACACATAATGGTCTATTGTTGTACCATCTACTGACAGAGATTAGAATTTTCTCCAGCTACAAGTACTATCGACTATTATATTATTTGGCATACAACTTCCAGAGCATAGCTGCACTCTTGTTTAATATAAGAGCTAAACACTGCACAAAACGACAATTTAGAACCAATACTGATTATTCAGCTTTAACAGGAACAGAAATATTCAGTATCAAATTCTTAAAATTAGATCAGAGAAATTATGTAATACAAAGAAAATCAAGAATTTTACATCATAAATGTTATTCCATTTTGTTTAGGGCTTAAAATGTCATATAAATGTGTTATCTACAGCCATTTAGAACTATATCAGAGGACTTTTATTCAAGTAAAAACCAAGTGAGAAAGAAAATTTTCAAATATTAGGCTTTCTTAGAAAAAGCTTAAAACAACATTTTACTGATAACAAGAAAACATATAAGATAATCTGTATTCTGCTTTCTTTAAATATTCATGTAGTAACAGTTATTCTGTTAAAAAAAGACTGCTTTGGCTTTACAAAAATTAAATATTAAAAGGAAGATACATATAATATCCATAAATTTATATAAATAAAAATGTATAATGCTGAATGACTTTTAATATTCACTTTTATGACTTTCAACTTTATTCAATTATGTAGTGACTGTTAATGAAGTCAAAAGAAAACAAAGTTATAGAAGATATTTCATGTATATTAAGAAACATCTAACAGTAACAGTAGCTTAAAATTCATGTTTTACATATAAAAAAAATTGTTTGTTTATTTTACTCATACCTTGCATGTTAAATATTAAGTGTAGGAAATCAGTAGGACATTTTTATCTCCAAAATATTTATCTGTACAAGTACAATTTGAAAATTACAAAACCCTAATTTTATTTGTAAACTTCCTGACAAAACATCATGTTCATAACAATGATGAGAATATCTGTTGAAATATTATTCAATCCCATCATTCAACACTGTTATTTAATCCCATCATTCAAAACTTTTCAACACTTTGGTATTCAATCACATTATTCAACACTGTTATTTAATCATACCATTCAAAACTTTTCAACACTGTTATTTAATCCCATCATTCAAAACTTTTCAACACTTTGGTATTCAATCACATTATTCAACACTGTTATTTAATCACACCATTCAAAACTTTTCAACACTGTTATTTAATCCCATCATTCAAAACTTTTCAACACTTTGGTATTCAATCACATTATTCAACACTGTTATTTAATCATATCATACAAAACTTTTCAACACTTTGGTATTCAATCACGTTATTCAACACTGTTATTTAATCATATCATACAAAACTTTTCAACACTTTGGTATTCAATCACATTATTCAACACTGTTATTTAATCATATCATACAAAACTTTTCAACAGTGTTATTTAATCACATTTTTCAACATTGTTATTTAATCACATCATTCAAAACTTTTCAACACTTTAGTATTCAATCACATTATTCAACACTGTTATTTAATCACACCATTCAAAACTTTTCAACACTTTAGTATTCAATCACATTATTCAACACTGTTATTTAATCACACCATTCAAAACTTTTCAACATTGTTGTTTAATCACATCATTCAAACTTTTCACCATTGAATTTAATCACATTATTCAGAACCTTTCAAAATTATTATTTAATCACATCATTCAAACTGTTTCAACATTTTCTTCATGAAAACAAAAGTAAATATTTTACAGTTGGAAGAGCTGAGTAGTTAGGATGTTTACACCTTAACCTTTTCTAAATTATATAAAAATACTTTAGATAACATTCACGGTTATAATTTAAACAAGTCTAGCATTATAGAGTTAAAGTATAAAGTAGATTGTAAAAATTAAAACACTGTTTAT